TTCTTAATCGATTATTCAGCGTCATTTTTTGCACGCTAATTACTATTAATAAATTCATTTCGTGTTTTGTTAGTAGTTAAAACCGCATTTATCACGCTTGATTTCTTAAATTACAACTATATTAAATTGTCCAAGTGACTGAACAATTACTGAAAAAACGAGTTACATTCAGCCTGGCATACATCATAATTTATTCAGCTCAAAAAAGCGATTAAGTCATCGTTTCTTAATACATTGGGATCGAATTCCGTTGCTCGTCGCTGACTTGCTATCATTTTTTCGTGTCAGACTGGTATGAGATCACCGTTTGGATAACACACATCGCAACGAATTTTTGTAAGGCCATATTATTTTTTAGGAATCCGTTTACATAACTAGCCTTATTCTACTACTGCAGTCACAATTTTCTCTTTTTATGTTACTACATCCAGAATAAAAATTTGCAGAACTTGAAGAAATGGAATTTTGGAAGAAATAAAATTTTGATCGAATGATTTCACTGTAGTGTGGAAAAAAAGGTGAAAGTAAATCAGTGGAGCCACTTATATAACCTATAATTTAATTTTAATCAGTTTTCTAAAAAAAAAAACAGTCTTCAATAAATTCCAAAGGACTTATAGCCACTCCAAAACCCACACGAAACACTAAAAAACGAAATGTGCCGCATATTTTTCTAAGCGCTTGAATTTCGAAGCAAATATTTTGCCGCTCAGTAGCTTCCGTGTTCTTAGCTATGCGAAGGAAACTATTCGGCATTCATAAAAATTTTTCTTACTATTTATTTTCATTCAATAGATGTTTATTTGTTCGACAAAGTTCAAACTTTTGGTATTTGTCAAGCATCGACAATTTTCGGCGGACTCATCAAAATTGCGACAGTGCCAGTGGCGTATTTACAAATGTATGCAAATAAACCATCGTAACAATGTAAATTATCTTATGTGTGCCACAAATTTCCATAATTTATGCCTGAAGCAGGACATTGGTCAGAAATTATGAAAATGCACTCACAGCGCGTACTCCAATAAAATCCTATTCAATTATTCTCCTCATGCCAACTCACGACGAAAGCCGATGAAGGATGACCACTTATAAATTCTTCTTGTTTAAAATAAATTAATGAAATGAGCAGCTCATTGCTCGCACAGGCTACAGATATGTTTGGTGCAGGTGCTCACCTTCTTGACCTCCACCTGAAGTATGAACGAAACAGCCACAAAGAAAACAAAACCGGCGACTCCCTTCTGATCGTTTAATAATAAAACATCTATTTTATTGTAAAACAGCGATTCCTGTCTCGGATTCGTAAATGTTTATGTTAATATAACTGGACAGATGTTGAGAACAACGGTAGTTATGGAATGTTCGTTGTTTCTTGACTGTGTAACATTCATTTGGTATTCACGGTAAATCGTTGTTTAGGTAATATTCCAATTGTGTGGTTGTGAAGTGTGTTATTACCGTTGTTGCGAATTTAACGTTAGTTTTTTGGAAGAGTCCTCAGACTGTCTGGATGACGTTCTCGTGGAATTGAAATTTCACGCAAAACAAGTCTGGGAAAACCGTCTAGTGTAACGTTTATTGACAATTTGCAGTTTTCTGCATTTTGGCTTTTAGTATTTGGACGTTGTTCCAAACAAAAACAAAGCGTGTCTGGTTTCAATATCGAGCAAACATAATCCTATAAAACAAAATTTGCAATTAGCTCGGAACACGCTGGCGTTTATAACTTGCCCCAAAACCAAAAATTGGGTTGGCTTTTTAAAAGCGCGCAATTGTTGCGACTAAATCCTAATTAAGCACAGAATTATTTACTTCAAACTCGAAGTACCCAGGCAGTTCTCGTAATCCGCAGTCAAACAGCAACCGTTACTTGTTCATGATTAAAGATGCTTAAAATTGATAGACATTATGTAGATTGTGAATGTAAATAATTAAAACGTACAGCCACCTGAGTTTAGGCAAAATGTGATCAGTCATCTCACTCTAGCGTTGTTTTGAATGTTTAATAGCCACTTTAAACTCTTAAACATAATTGATTAAAATTATTCGGCTGCCTTTAACGCTGCTGTTGTTTACCAACACTGCCATTGAATCGAAGAAACAATTATCACCTTCGTGTCACTTTTGTCTCGCCAATGGGGAACACGGAAACTTAATTTTTCCGAGCATAATAAAGATTCTGTTGGTCACCCGTTCAACAATGGCGTGTAATTAATGACACAAGCCACTAAAACAAGGCGTGATTGAAATACGATATGTTTCTCCACACAAGCTGACATCATCAGGGTGGTGATAAAGTGGAGCCCGAAAAAAACAATCTCGTGATTTGTTGCGTTGTATTATTTATCGGGAATGAAAAGATCGAGATGCATTGCCTGTGATAGAGATCTTGAGACGCGGAGTTCAGTACACTGAGAAAAATACTTGTTAAAATTTTATTTAGGTGCGAGCAGGCAATCAAATGACATGTAAATAGAACCAAGTTTTTATTACCAGTGTTGACATTTTCAATTTCGCAGTTAAACTTTTCATACGCGAGACTACATATTTACGCTACGCTTTTTCACTCAAGTAAGTAAAATTAGTGCAATACTTATAAGGACAAACCATTATTTCAAGTATTTTCACTTTTTGTGGTGAGAAAGTTCTGGGTTTAAGTAAAATTTATGGATAAATATACTGCCGAACATAACATAAACAAAATGTACGATAGTTTTTCTCTGGGTATTGACTTCCTATGGTAATAAAATGTGTTGTAATCTCTGGAGTGATAACAGCAACTAGGTGCTTGGTGGATTTAACTACGTACTTTACTGGTTTCAGTTAAAACAGGTCAGTCTTGAAAGATGGTTGTACGGTCGAATTGGCTTGGAAATAAAATTTTTAAATCATAGGATATAACCGGATTTAAAAAAAAGTGACACCTAAATAACCCGACAAAATGAAAATAATCCACTCAGCGAAAAGAAAGTGTCTGACTTGTCTGTAAGGTCTTTATTTAAAGCAACGGATCGGATCACCCCAAACCCAGTATTACATCTCGGTCTTCAAAATCTAGTCAGAGAAAATTCTATTTTTAGAATGAAATGTGTTTTTAATACACATTTAAAAACCAAAGTGTTCGTGTAGTGGGTAATTTGTGGTTGCTGTGTAAAAGTCCCTTCAACTACATATCAAAGAAAAGGTTGCAGGAAACACAGAATAATAGTTTGAACACTATTGTTTTATTTTACTTCAGAATTGTTTCATAAGTTGTCTGGAATAATCTCTTGTAACACACAAAAACATTTTATTTTTACTCTCCCCTACATCAAAAAGAACTGGGTTAGTACTTGTGACAACACAAAGCGTTTTCATAGAATTAAAATACAATGTCGTTTTAACTTATTTTATTTCCATTGTATGTCAGGTGTAAAAAATTATTCAAATAGGTACAACTGGATCTAACGAAAATGAATCCGGCGAATTAGGTTTGGATACTTTAATGGTTTGTGTATGGCTGTGTAAGCTATTGTACGTCAAGATAGACTCGAAGAGTGAAAATAACATTTAAGACGTAAAGCTAACGACAAAAGTGTGTGGGATTCGTTCTGGAAAATTTGATCATACACGGAAGTACTAATATTCAAATTGCCAGTCAAAAAATTTCCTATTCAACGACATGAAAAATTATATCAGAAGGAAACCTTGAAATTTTTTCCGTAATTCATCAAAAATTCGATACTCTATGTACAATTCTGAAAATGACTGGATGTTAATATATCATAACGTAATAAGACAACTGTCACGTAATATCACAATACGGAAGGTTACGAAAATGGAATATGACTATTTACAAATTATAAAAAAAAATTGTATTTAAACGACACTTTGTCCGGTATGACGAAAAAAGATTAAACCAACAGTTCTGGTATTTGCAACATCGATGCACCATTTGCTCAAACAAAAATTATATCAAATAGAATCTGAAAAATTTCCGTCATACAAAAATCGATTATAACGTAATTGTGGTGGACAATGCACATTACCGTTTTAGGGAGAGCTTTAACATTAAAGGCATTGAAATTTGAAAAACGGTATGTTATCGGCGACCTTGCTAAATTCTATAGACATGGTGTTATCTTTGGCGCCACACCATTGTATATTCAAAAGCGGAAGCGAAATCATCACTAATCCAAAGTTTAGTAAGAAATAGTCTTTGTTGTCGCGGAAGAACTAAGAAAAATGTCATCAACAAGTTGGAAGAATTATGTGCAGCTTGAAGCCATTGAACACTTCTACGTGCAAAATTATCTAACGGAGCTGGTGGTTCGTTTCAATGGCAAACACTGACGACTCTGAAACTATTTTTAGTGTCATATTTAATAATGAACCTTTTCATTTTTAGCCCTTTTTAGGTTTATTTTGGTGAATACATTTAAAATTGTTCCAGTGTTCAATATTCTCAGTTATGAAAATAATTTTTTTGTGATCCAGAGATCCAAATTAAACTAAAAAAAAGGCTAGATTTCTGTGTCTGAGAAACCATCCGATGCGTTGAATTACGTTACTTATCTCTATTGAACACATCGAGATGCATTACCTTTGATAAAGATCTCGAAAAGATGTATTCTCTAAACCAGTTGCGGTATCAATAGGTTATTCCAGTAGGTTCAGATACGTTCTAATAATAGCCCCGTTTTTATCAGAGTTCCTCTCAATAACGAAGCAAAAATTGGATTTCTTTCCGGTTCTTGCATCTGCAGCGCAAATTGAAGATGCATTTTAATGAGAGCAAAACGCGGAATTCGCCGGATATCAGACCTAAATGAGTGCAATCGCCGACCGGTTCCGGCAAAAGACGTGTCTGATGCGCTTTGAAAACTCCGAAGCCAACCTAAATGTCAGGTCAGCTGTAACGATCACAAAATAACACCGAAAAATGACACCACGTCCCGGTTATAAATAATAACGACACGACCTTTCCACATCTGACTCGGTGGAAAAAATCTACTTACTTTGCCGTTTCCCGAACATTTTCTCCTGTTCTTGTACAACAGCAATCCAGCGGTATCCATAGTGGAGAACACAATTTCAGAAATGAAAAAAAAACACTGAAATCAAAACGAAAGCGAAAAATGGCACAGAACACGTAGGTTAAATCATTTTTCACAGGTTACAGGGGACGACCGGGAATCGAGCGCAGTCTCTACACGCACACATACGAACTAGACGAGCGCTGAAAACGAACTGAAGAGAAGACGGAAAGCAGAAATTCACGAGCCGTCGGCGTGGTGTTGTTGCACGAGACGCCGCCGCGGCGAAGGCCTGAACTAAACTAAAATGCGGAGGGGAATTTACCCTCGTTTCTATTCAATGCTTCAAGTTTGGGGATGCAATTTCGGAACCTGACTGAACTGCCGGACGATTGTTAGAACGGAATCTCGCGGCGCAAGACGTTCTGCAACTTTGGCAGGCCGAGCCTGAAGAAGGAAAAGTGGAGCTACGCAATCACGACGGTCGGGGCACTTTTTTATTTCCGAGGTGGATGACGCGGGCTCGTGGGCTGAATATTGTTTTAAGAAGGAGCGAGTTTATTTCGGGAAATGAGCGAAATAACAGAAAATTGCGCAGAAGACATAACATCCACTTTAGACAAATATGGCTTTCCGGCAACTTTAAACTTCGACTCAGACGAAAAAATAAACTGGTGTTTGCAATATTCGTCTAAACTAAACCCCAGAATTTTCCTTGAAGTGGTGAATCTTGGAATCGCTGTGAGCTTGAATCACAAACTTTTTTTAGAGACCAAAATCCTTAGTATCATGTGTTGTCCCTCAAACATTGATGCTTTTCGTGGAATGAATGTTAGAACCTAGATACACTTGTATTTCTCAGTGGTCTGTTACTCTACAGAACACGAAATAAAAACAAATCGTTTATTTTTGGTATTTCGCGATGATGATATTGGTGAGATTACATTGACGGATTGTGATCTTGCGACTGTCGATCTTTTGTCGCAGATATTCTAGAAATATCGCAATAGTGTCATACCATATGTGAACGCAAAGACCTCGGAAATACTCATTAAACCGCAGGATTTCAAGCTGGTAAAAAATCTGTCAAGCTATTTACGTACAACACTCTTGTATCTCAACCAAAACCATTGTCGGGTACACAGACGGTACTTTCCTATGCTTAATTGGTTTAAAAGCAATTAAGTTAATTTTTGTTTCCTCAGAGGTAGTTAAGGGAAATATCATCATCAGAAATGCTCACTCGTGGAATACAAGAATGCAAGTTTTCCATTATCGTCCCCTTGAAGCCTCCAGTTGGTGTTTATTGTAAATTTTTGTACACAAATTATTATTTTCACATACGCCAAATAAATCTCGCATGAAATGTACACCGCCTGTGTAGTATACAAGTGGTTTTACACTCTACTTCAAATTTTCAGTTTTCTACATACCGCATTCGATATAGAGAAAACAATAATGTTTTGCACTCTTGAAACTCAACACTCAACGAAATCAGACTTCGTACTAACATTAAAACAACATTAGAGCACTTTAACAAACCCTGCTTTTAATTAAGGATTTATAAAAAAAAAAAACGTTTTTTGCTTGGAAATGGTACCTGGCACAATTATGGAGATTTCAACACCACGGTGTTTTGGTTTGGTATCGATTAATTATTAATTCTAATTCAGTGATAAAAATATATAATATAATATAATCATTCCTTTAAAGTGGTATTAAATTACGTGTTTCTTTGCCCGTGTCCGTAATTGTTGTCATAAATAATTTTTTTCAATTAACCGTGTAAAATAATAAATATATAATTTAAACTGACCAAATACAAAAACTCGTCCTTATTTTATTAAGTCTGATCAATGTCTTTAACCAGCCATTTTAAAGTTTACATTTGATTGCTGCTTTTACTTCTCTTTTTTATAGCGCACAAAGATAAAATTTGTGATATTTTTTGCACAATTTTTATTTTTTTCCAAAAACTTCATATTCATTGTTGAAAATTAGATTGGATTAACAAATTATAGGCAGGTTTAGCATAAGTTTGTGAACACGTCATCGCCGGACTATGTCTCAATTTGACAAGACATAGTAAAATAAAAGTAAAAACATATCTTCTACAGTTAAATATTACAATTTTCCAAGAAAGTTATACAATGGTCTTTTTTGAAACTCAATAATTTATATTGCAAAATATGAACTTAAATTTATTTATTCATTTAGTTTAGAAAGTCGATAGCGTTGTGTTAGCAGTGTTAAAAAATTTTTTTTCGAACATTTTTTCGACCGAACTTCCTTCGCCCCTGAAGTACAGCTCAGGGTTACTTTGAAAAATAAAAAGAAATTGATTTTCCGAACATTTATTTATGATAACCTCTAGACATTAAAACAAATATAATAGATAAATAATACCAGTAACAGTGTAAAAAGCTAAACGACATCCTATAAATGTGTTTTGACATTTTTTTTTGCTTGTCTAAAATACCAACTTTTTTCAAATTTTCATAGAGCTTGTTTTTCTGAATTCATGAATGTATTATACTTTAATTGCCCATGCCGTGTTACTTCCAATTCGACGGAGGCATTATGTTACGAAAACACATTTGTTTATATTCTACTGGAGGGACCATGACAGGAAATGGATCGACAATTGCTCCAAAAATATGAATGCGTTGATAAAGCTAGAGTCTATAGTTTCAGTTCTATAATAGTATATTAAAGAACGAGTTTCATAAGGCAAATATTAAGACCAGAACCTAAGGATGAGTGCCACAATGGCTTTCTGAACGACTTATTTATACTATTTTTTCTACCGCGCACGTTTTTTCGCAAAATTTAATTGAAATTTGCGTTTTTTTAAATCTGGGGAATTTTGTCGTGGTTGGTGATGGGTTGGTTTGACACGAACCACGAAATAATTGAAGTTCGAATTTTCACAACAACTGTAATTCACAATAAGAAATAATAGCAAGCAATAATCAATTCGAGTTAATATTGGTTAAAATGTTTTGTGAAGAAGTTGGTGAAGTCCTTACGCCTCCCGAAATACGGGAAATTTTAATTTGACATTTGCCATTGACATTCACCTGACATTTCTCCTCATGGCTACCAATCTAACCGACCTAAATTACACCAGATTTATTTCAGAACCCCTTTCCGCTATTAACGAATCGCTATGACGTCATTTGAGTGCTTTGATAGCTCTATTAGAAAACCAAAAAACGTGCGCGGTAGAAAAAAACTTGCTAAATTTAAAGGGTGTTCAATTGCAAATTTCTATAGTAACGAGTTAAATTTGTAAATCTGATTTAGTGTGTATTTTTAACAACATTTAAATTTTAACACATTTTGATACACAATTTGATAATAAATATAACAGCAATAACATAAAAAATAAAAGATTCTATAGGCAAAATCTGAAGACGGATTCATAAAGAACAAGTGCAGGAGTATGTTATTATATAAAATTTAAACCATAGTTACTATGAAAAATTTTGAGGGGTTGTAATAAACTTGTTGGTGGGGATGATTAGAAAAATTACATGATATTCGTACTATACATACATACATACATTTTAGGAGATTATAGGTCTAATAAAAATGGATACAGTCACCAGACAGATTGACGGAAACGAAGATCATTTTTTTGTACTCTAGGGGTCAAAAAGTCAAATGGACTCGATTACTATACTTCCTTCGCTTACGCTCGGGAAGTAAAAAACATAAACAACAAACAAAAAATATATTTCAAGTGCCGACAATATGAAATATAATTAAATCCGTACGTGCTTAATTCGATTGTTTATGTTTGTACATCGAAAGAATGCTACGATTAAGCATATAGCAAGCTGCCTGTTTGAATAATTTTGTCTGTTAGAGGAGGAAATTATAATCATTAATTAAGCTACAATGGAGCAAAACGTTCTGAATATTATTTTAGATAATTAGCTGTTATTATGTTATCATCTCATTTGCCAAAATCACTCTTATTTTGGTAGGTACTAACCTCGCCCACCCGCCCTCTATTTTTTTAGAGAAATCTCATTTGCCAAAATCAGTCTTACCTTAGCAAGTATTAGCCCCGCCCACCCACCCTCTCTTTTCTTAGAGGGTATGTCCTTTGCCAAAATCAGCCTTATCTTAGCCGGTACTATCCCCGCCCACCCACCCTCTCTTTTCTTAAAGGGTATGTCACTGCCAAAATCAGTTTTATCTTAGCAATTACTGATAACTAACTTTTACAAAAAATGACCAAAATTTGGAAACATTACGAGTTTACTTATATGCAAAGACAGGAATTTTCACATCTTCTCCAGTGTTTTTAGTTGATTACGCTTTATGGATTTTTGTTTTGTCGGTTTTGTTTTTGTTTATAATTTAAAATAAGTATAATTTTTTTTTGGTTTATTTATTAATGAAAAATAACAACTTGTTTTATTAATAATAATGCACAAAGATTAATAACTACTGGCTGTTAAAAAAAAAATAAAAGGTATATTTCAGTCACTATTCACTCACGCATTAGGTGTGTGCAGTGTTGCCAAATTTACTTTTTAAAATTAGGTTTTTTTTTCGTAATTTGAGATAATAAGATTTTTTTTATTATTTTTTTGGGACTCCCGAAACATAACGTATTGAAGAGTTAATCCGTTATTCTCCAGACACCCGCTATATTATTTATACAATATTTTAATTATCCTGTAACTGGGCATAAAGTCCGTTGGATAATAAACCTTTAATATTATTACACGTCATTGTTTTTATATTGGTATAAAATGTGATGGCGCAATTTGAATTTTTTGCCTAGGGTTAAAAATCAAGGCGGATTCATAAACCACAAATACAGGAGTATGTTATTTTATAAAATATAAATGGTGTTTATTAAAAAATGTTTTGAGAGGACGTCACCAAATTGTCGGTGGGAATGAGTATCCACATTTTGGTTAGTGTTTTACATATAAGAAATCTGTATTTAACAATAAATTGTTAACAAATTTATCGGATTAAGACAGCATAAGTTTGATTTACAGTCACTATATTGATGATTATATGATTCTTAGGATTATTATGATCAGTAAACTACGAACTTTTAAGTTCTGAAAATTGTGTGTGAAATTATGTGATGTTCTACAAACTGATTACAATTTGATTCATACTGATAACGGTACAAAAACCCATGTGGTAACACTGTCTGTTTATATAGTGATTCGCTAACGTATAAATTAATTTATGAAATATTGATTATTATTTATTAGTTATTATTAGTCCATACAAACATGACAGATCTGCAGCTCAGACACCCCCAACTTCCGTAATTTCTGTGCTTTATTTACCAAACCCATCTTTCATTATCAGCAGTTCACTAATTAACTTTACATTTTTTGATAGATATTGTTACATAATGAAATCTTGTGGATCCTGTCAAATTACTGATTTATCTATTCGGGTGGCTAAAAACGCATTTTTTGCTCGTTTTCGTCACTGAAGCCTCATCAAGATTTTTTGTCCCTACGCTTCAATAAATCAATAATATGACAATTTATAATTAACGAACGAAAACATTCCTATTTCGGAAATTATTCACCTAATTTAAAATGCTACTACGTTCTCACAATTCCGAAAAATTAACAGCGCTGTTTTGTGGATCGAGTCACATTCCGATCAACCCTCGATAAGTTTGTTTTGCGGCCACGTATACCCAGTAGAGCAATTTTGTGACAGAAATAGAACGACAGAAATGCCATAAATAGCCATTTCGTTATAGCAAGCGATCACTTCTATAAGTTTTAAGAATGTCCATGGCCATAAGCACGCACAACAAGCAGTAAAATGAATCAGTTAAAAACGGAAAAGTCTTTAAGAACAGTGGATATATTTGTTTAGCGGCTTTTTTTATATCCATCGTCCGACTTTTCCTTTCATTCCCACTCATAATTAATTCAAAACTAAAAGTGGAAAGGCCACTAGACTATCGTAAAGTATTAGTAGTAACAGCGACCCATTAGTGTGACCTTGAAAAACCGCTAGGATTTGAGCGACCTTGAAAAAACCGCTAGGATTTGAGACCCGCTAGTAATTAGAGTTAATTAATTAATGCATAATTAATTAGCGATTAAATTCGATTTTAATTACGGGAGTATGTTTAATTAGTGTGTTTAAGCCTTAATTAGAATCGGGAATTAATTTATTAGAGGGTTTTAATCATTAGCGTGCATATTAAATGAGATTTAATCGATAATTAATTACCCTTAATTAGTAGCGGTCTTTAATTACTAGCGGGTCTCAAATCCAAGCGGGTCTCAAATCCTAGCGGGTTTGAAATCCAAGCGGGTCATAAATCTTCGCTGGTCAAAATGCTAGCGCTTTCACCTTCTGAAATCCTAGCGGTCATAAATGTTGAATTTAATTACGGGTGGGTTTGTATTTACTGTGGTTTTAGCCTTAGGAGTAGAAGGCATTAATGATTGGAGGGTTTTAATCATTAGTGTGAAAATTAATTGAAATTTAGTCGATAGTTAATTAATTACCCTTAAATACTAGCGTGCTGGTAAATCCTAGCGGTTTCTCTTCCCGAGTCAAGTGAAATCCATGCGGGTCGTAAATCCTGGCTTGTCTAAAATACTGGTTGTGTTATAAAAATGTTTAGGTCGCAACAAAGTCTGGAGGTATTAAATGCTAGCGCTTTCGCCACCCTCCGCAGGTGTTCTGAAAAATATATCATTTTTATTGTGTTTATCTTCTGCGACTGGCGCCGATTTGTGAATCAAAACAATTAGCCAGTTGTACAGGCCAGACGTTATAAAAATATTTTGGTTGCAAATGGTGTGTAAAAAAGACGTCTAACTTACCCGAGCACTTTAAAAAGAATAAAGTACCGGTCTGGGTGCAAGCGTCAGGTACTAAAAATCGGTAGATGAATACGGCTACAGGGATGTGTAAAAAGTCCTTTAACTTACGCTGGCGTTATTGGTGCTATAAAAAATGAATAAAGTACCGGTTTGGGTACGATGGACAGATGTCCAGGGTGCGAGGCGTCGAAGTCTATGTCGGCTTCAAGGATATAAAATGCAAATGCTCAGTTAGCGGTAAATTAAGCGGTAAATTAAGCGGTACTTTCATGCAAGTCTTATTAAATGGTACTGGGATGTAAGTCTTATTAAACGATACTTTCATGTAAGCTTTCAATATATTACATTTTTGTTAAAAGGGCTCGATTCGAATATGAATGAGTATTACATGAGTGACGTCTATTATGTTAATAACGTGATGTTCTAGCAAAATTAATTGTCGATTTAGAAACAGTATGTCCAAACTCTACAAATTCTTTTTATGTATGATTTTGTTGTAGACTGACGTTATCGAACAATTACTAAATAAATAAAAACCGAGGGTGTAGTTTTGAAGTTTGGTAACTGTGAGTATGTGAAGAAAAAATAAATAAATAAATAAGTAAATAAATAAAAAAAACGACGCTAAAGTTATATCAAAAGCATGATATTTAAAAAGGTATGTTAATGTTAAATAAAACAGTGTTAACGAAAATACTTCAGTTTTCGACACGCCCAATTGTAATAAATTTGATGCGGCATTGGTGGTATCGAATAAAAAAAAATTTTGCATGTTTTATAAAAGCAATAGAAATGTGGTAGGTGCAAAAATTTCTGTTGTATGACATATACATATATAAAACTTTGATATAATAATAATATTACCTTCAGATTTGAGGCGAATCTCGGAAATGGTTTTTTTACCTGCATGTAAAGAACCTTGAAAACGCCCTATTATACGGGTATTTTAGGTCGAAAAACGTTTTAACGCCCGAAGGGCATGAAAGTTTTGTCCCTTCTGCCTATTTAAGGATGCGGAACTGTCTTTTTTGTCACTTTTTACATGACCGTTTATCCGGTGTGCTTGCTCTAGTTAACAGTGTTTACTATTGAATCCGTAATGGATAGTTTTGAAAAGTTTTTAAATTCTCAAACTGTCAAACAGTTGCTTTTTTTATTACGTAGTGGTTTTCTTGAGGATCGGGAAAATTTAATTCAGTTTAGTGAACACGTGAATTTAAGATTTATTAATAATTTTTTGTTCATGTCGAGCGACGAAATAGCTCTATGTGAAACTCTACGTCGTGAAATACAAATCAAAGGTAAGTAAAAATAACTTGGTGTTTATTTTAGAAATAAATGAATAAAATGTTATTGTTATTATCAGGCTGCTTTGAATCTGAAGAGTCATCCTCACCCTCTTTAATTGCGGAACTCTTCAGTGAAAATCAAAGCGAGATTAACCAAGAAGGAGAAGAAGAAAAAGAGGAAGAAGAAGAAGACGAGGAAAAACAGTATCAAGAACATGAAGTCGAGATTGAAAAAACCGAAGACGTTCCTCAATCCCCCAGCCTACTGAACTACACAGCTACAAAATTAAAGAAAGGTAAGGTGTTCATATTACATATTGCATCATAATTTTTAAATTAGTATGGAGTAACCAAATTATGAATAATAATTTCAATTTTTTTTATTCTCATACAGATGAAAACAAGAATAGAAATCTTAAAGTGGTCAGAGGGACAGCGGATACCATAGTGATCTCCAAAAGAAACGGGTTATTCCTTATTACCGATAAGAAGCCATCGAGCGATGGACCGTGTTTGGAATGTATAAACAATCCACAGCCTGGGACATCTAAAAGTGTTCCGATATGTAAGTTATTGTATTTTCAATGTAACACAAATATGTAATTAGAAAATGTATATAGGTCCCCATCGTGCAAAGTCAAATCTTCAACTAGGGCGAGGCGTCGAAGATTCTTCAAACGTCAAGCCTTTCGGTAAGTCAATTTTATTAATACACTGTTTGCAAATTAATCATTTATGTATTTATTGTAGAAGCGGAGCTGAGCATGGAAGCAATAGGAAATCAAACCAACGACCACAAATTTTTAAACACGGTTCGGGAATCAGAAAGATTTATTAAAAAATTTGGTCTTTTATCCCGATGTATGGAGTTCACGCTAAAAGCTCCAACTGTAGAATCATCGGACAATCAAATGGTTTGGCTGAAGGTGTGTATAATTTCTTCTTAAATATAAAATTTGAAATTTTTCACAGTAATTGTTATTTAACGTTGGTAAACAATAATAATTGCAATAATATTTTATACAAAGTCGATATATATATTTTTTTTATTTGCAGAAAGTGATCCAAGAAATGCTCGATCATGTTTGCCGAGAGTTCCTTCCTGACGACATCGTCGGAATTTTAATGAAAAATGAAAATTACCCTGATAAACCGTTGGGCATTTCGTTCCGGAAATTTTCGGCTATGAGCGCCGATGTTATTTTGGACGTAATCTCCGTGGTGCTACAAAGTAACGCTGAGTTTTTCACCAGCGATTATTTGTCAATCCAAGTGGACCGCGTGCGCCCCCCAGCTGGATACGGTACGTCTGCTATCAACGGAAAAGCCGTGAGTTTTAATGAGTACAGCGTTACCAAAAATAGTATATACGTTATCGACAACCAAGGCACCGATTGTCTTGGTATGGCGCTAGTTGTGGCCAAAATGTACTGCGACAGCAACAACGACCGAAAATCCTTGAAACAATTTTCGCAAGCTCGTGGAAAAATATTATTGCAAACTCTTGCTGCGGAATTGTGTCGCGCGAGTAATGTCTGTTTAATTAACGGTGGAAATTACGTTCAACTTAACGATTTCCAAGAGTACTTGTCTGACTATACCATAGTGGTATATAGCAGTCGCGTAGGCAATTCTGTTTATTTTGAGGGTCCCCGTGCCCCGGGTAAAAAATGTCTCAATCTGATAATGGAAAACAATCATTACAATGTAATTTTAAGCCTTACAGGCGCCTTTTCTACACAGTATTTCTGTGAGCTTTGTCGCGTACGATATTCCAGAGGAGATCGCCACAAATCTTGTCCGTACATATGTCCGTGTTGTCACGCTAGTCCTCCTTGTAATATTAACGACAACGGCGAAAATATTTTAAAATGTCGGTCATGTTTAAGATGTTTTCGGGGTCGTATATGTCTTGAAAAGCATATCGCCGCTAAATTGTGTGAAAAATTAAAAAAGTGCCATATCTGTCACAAACATATTTGGGTTAATAAAAAAACCAATCATATTTGCGGTGTATCCCGATGTAGCACATGTCGTGCTGATAAACCAGTTCGACATTTCTGCTATATGCAGCCTAACCGGGCGTCTTTAGGCAAAGCTGAAGAAAACGTTCACGATTTTTTGTTTGTGTTTTACGATCTAGAAACTACTCAGGACAAACAAATTAGAGAAGGCATGTTTTTACACGAACCCAATTTGTGCGTTATCCAAAAAGCATGCCGTATTTGTATTTTGATTGACGACGTTAATGGTAATTGTTATAATTGCGGGCAACGTCAATTAATTTACAAAGAGGACCCTGTAGATAGGTTGCTAGAACATGTAGCCGAAATGTCGAAAAAGTTTAAAGTTACGGCTATAGCGCATAATATGAAAGGTTTCGATGGGAGTTTCCTTTTGCAAAAAATGTTCGACAATGTCAGCCGATGGTGTCCCGAGGTGATCCGGACTGGGACAAAACTAATGTCGATTACCTGTGGCACGTCGATAAGATTCATTGATAGTTTGAACTTTATTCAATTGCCGTTGTCGCGTTTTCCATCGGCCTTCAAAATACAAGGTTGCAAGGGGTATTTTCCCCACTACTTCAATAAATCCACCAATAAAAATTATGTAGGAACTATTCCTGAAAAATGTCACTATGGTTGCGATTCAATGATGCCTGATGAACGCGCTAGATTTGTTAATTGGCATAATGAGCAGATCGAAAGTAATGCAGTATTTGACATGGGTAAAGAAATCGTTAAATACTGCATTCAAGATGTGGATTTATTGCGGAAGGGTTGTTTGAAATTTCGAGACTGCTTTATTTCAGGGTACGGTATCGACCCATTCTTAGAATCTTTAACAATCGCGTCCGCTTGCAACCTTGTCTTCAGGAGAAACTTTTTGCAAAAGGACACCATCGGGATTATTCCCAGGAACGGCTACCGGTGTGGTGATAACCAATCTGAGGTGGCCATTAAGTGGCTTACGTGGATTGGTCATTCAAATAATATAGTTATCAATCATGCTGCCAATGGTCGTGAAACTCGTTTACCTGAAAATATTTTAGTTGATGGTTTTTGCGAAGCGACAAACACGGTTTTCGAGTTTTACGGGTGTTGGTATCATGGTTGCGAAAAGTGCTATTTTGATCAGACATGTAAGCTGTCGGACAAAAAAGATGGACTTTTTATCAAGCGCGAAGCCACCTTAGACAAGGAATACCGCATTAAGGCAGCCGGGTATAATTTATTGACAATCTGGCAGTGTCAATATGAGAAAGAATTAAAAAGAAATCCGGCGATGCAAGAATTTATAAATGCCATACCGAGAACTAGATGCCCACCGTTAAACCCTCGTGATGCATTTTACGGCGGTCGCACAAATGCATGTAAGCTGTATTATAACTGCACCTCCGACGACGAAAAAATTATGTATTACGACGTGTGTTCGTTATACCCCTACATAAACAAATACGGTAAATACCCGATCGGCCACCCTATAAAAATTTATGTAGGGGATAACGAATGCCGGCAGGTCGAACTGCAAAGTGTCGAGGGATTAATTAAGTGTCTCGTACTACCTCCACAAAATTTATATCACCCTGTACTTCCGTACAGGTGTAATAACAAACTGACGTTCCCTTTGTGCCGTACTTGTGTTGAAGGTTTATTACAGACTGAATGCACTCACGCAGAAAGCGAACGGCAGTTTGTTGGTACTTTCGTGGCTGACGAATTGCGAAAAGCCGTAGAACTGAGGTACAGAGTGATAGAAATTTTTGAAATCTGGGAGTATAAAACCGTAATTTACGACAAAGAGACAAATACACCCGGTCTCTTTTCTTCATATATAAATTGCGGTCTGAAAGGAAAACAGGAAAACAGCGGGTTTCCAGCGTGGTGTGACACTAATGAAAAAAAAGATATGTATATAGCATCCTATTTCGAAAAGGAAGGTATCTTACTCGAGAAAAACAAAATTACGCAGAACAGCGGGATGCGATTTTTATATAAAATCATGTTGAACAGTTTTTGGGGCAAATTCGGCCAAAAAGAAAATGCCCCAAAGACTGAAATTATAAACAAATCGATAGACTTGTTTAAACTTCTAACTAATCCGTCGGCGGAGGTGCATAATTTAACAATAATTAATTCCGAGGTGGTGTTGGCAACATGGAACAAGGTGGACGAAGATATAGACCCATTAAAAACAGTTAATGTCGTTGTTGCCGCGTACACAACCGCTGGCGCTCGATTGGAGCTATACAAATATCTGGAACGCCTAGATCGTCGTGTCTTGTATTTTGATACAGACAGCGTCATTTTTAGTCAAAAAAATGGCGAGTGGATGCCGCCAGTTGGTGATTTTCTTGGCGATTTGACCGACGAGCTAGGCGAGTACGGCGATGGCAGCTTCATAAGCGAGTTTGTCAGCGGGGGCCCAAAAAATTATTGTTATAAATTTTGGTCGTGCAAAGACCAGTCGTACAAGACTGTGTGCAAGGTGAAAGGAATCACCCTAAATTATGAAACCTGTAAAATTTTAAATTTTAACAAAATGAAAGATATGATTTGTAATAGAGAGGATGATGAGGATGATGAGATTTTACGCTTAAATTCTAGAGTTATAGTAAGGAATCCCAGATACGATGTGTTTACCAAGCACACAAGTAAGCAATATAGAATTAGAGCAACAAAACGTAGACGTCTCGAAAATTCCTACGACACTTTACCTTACGGTTTTAAAAATTAAATGGTTGCTGTTATAAACTCGATAGTTTGTCGTTGCGGTTGACTGTAATTTTATCTTTGGAACTTATTTTTAGCGTTTTTTTTCTTTTTTGTAATTGATGTCGATGTAATTTGTGATTTTAGAACATTTTAATTTTATATGTATAATATTGTTGTTGTTGCTGATAATTGTCTTTTTTTTTTACATGGAAAACTTGTCTCAAATAAACTTGTTGTATTTTATATATATTTTTTTTTGCACATGAGCGAGCCTGCACGCTTGTGTGTGTGTGTGTGTGTGTGTGTGTGAGTGCGCGCGCGCGTGTGTGTGTCGCTCCGCCCGCCCGCCCGCGCCGCCGCCCCTCCGCCCGCGCCGCCCCTCCGCTCGCGCCGCCCCTCCGCCCGCGCCGCCCCTCCGCCCGCGCCGCGCTCGCGTTCATCCGTTCAACTCCGATGAAAGTGTTTGCAAAGTAGCTTTGAAAAAAAAAACAAAGGAGATGGTATTTTGGAACTTTATTTACGGCTAAAATAATAATCAAACATTTTTTTACAAATAAGATCATTATTCATAGGATTGCGTGTCTTAAACAAACTTAAAAATTTATCTACAGAATTATTTAAGGTATAATTTAAAAGAAATAAGATGCAGTAATGCCCGCAAACGCTGGACGCAACATCTTGAATTACGCGGTAATTGTAGCTCCACATTGTAGAGTTTCTTTTTAGAAAATCCAGAATGTTTTTTCGAGGCTTTCGTCCAAAACTGTCAAAAAAATATGCGAATCCGTAGCAGTCGATATAAATACCCATCCAATGACTACCGGGCATATAATCGGGGTCCTCATTTACGACAATCAAAGCAGGCCTACTCATATACATAGGCAACGTATTGTTAGCAAAAACAGCATAGTGATATTTGCCCGATTTTGCAATTTTGGCTAGGCAGTTTTCCAGCTGCACAGTGTTCATTATACCAGCTGGAAAGATTCTGCACGTTACTCAAGGAGCATTTGACTTTATGGGTGTGATTTTTGCAAGTCCGGTTGTTATAAAGTGCGTTTAATTCCCTAAACGATGGACAGCTGTGTTGTTGTACGTCAATAACTGTTTTGGTGGGCATCCGTTGCTCGAGTATTTTTTTCTTCCTTTTGCCTTTAACGTAAACGCGTTCGATGTTCTTGGTTGTTTCCGCTAAAATGGTGTCGACTTTACTGTAAGATTCACTCCCATCGCACCACGATAATCCGTGTAAGTTTCGAGTTACCCAGTCAATTTGCTCTTGGAAATTATGTGGTAAATTTGGCAAATCCTCAGGTGGTTTAAACAAAAAATAATCAATATTCGATTTTTCAGTGTTTAAAATTGCCAATTCCTTAATAATGGTACCGTCTTTGTCCGAGTTCAAGAAACTTTGATAATCGACAAACACGACCATCGTTAACGCCCGTTATTAAATAACTAACGAATATTTATTTGTAGAACATTATTTAACTACTGAAGTCTACAACAACGTTGCGTTTTTTGTCAATTTCTATGACGCTGTCAAATTCTCCATAAATTAAACAGTTTGTCGTTTCCGTCAAAGCAGTCTGAAACGCCACTTCCAATCTAACACTTCCATTTTTAACGAGATTCCAATGAGTCATGGAACCCGCTGAAAGATCCGGCGTGAGATCAAAAACGGCGACGCTGTACCCTCCCGAATAAGCTTCGCGTGATATATCATTTCCCTCATTAAGAAAATGCATTCCGGTCCCGGAAAATAACGTGTGATACATGGTAACGTATTTTTTACTTGGTCCCGCAAAATCAGGCTGAAATGGTTTACACGGTACTTGGTGACCGTCGACATATAGAACCATAAAGTTCAAGTTGAAATGTTGAAAGTTGAATGGATTCAACGTAAAGTCACCGTTGAATGCCTTGTTTGATACAAAGCATACAGCAATACGTTTTGGCAGTTGACCCAAAAAGATATTATCCAGAGATTTGGAAAGTACACCTTGAGGCAGCGTCAGTACTTTTATCTCGGTGCGAGTGATGGGATACTTCGCAGATGACAATTCCAAAGCTTTTGCGTGAGCTAACATCACGGTTGGGCTTATTTTAACTCGTCGCACAAGTAGCGTGGCGTTGTTAATTTGTATTTTTCCGGTCGTCGTTCCATCGGCCATTAATGCAAAATTATTTCTTGAACGAACCAATTTTACTCGTAACTCCACACCGTTAATTAAAAATTTACTCTGATTGAAAAGATCGCAATTAAGATGCCCGATCAGATCTACTTCTTTACTTTCTTTTGTAAACATTTTACGTTTCTTATATCCATCGTTATCATCATCGGCGTTATCCATTTTTCCGGGTGTATCGGGGTACCACAAGCCGCACGTTAGGTGAGAATTTTTAGCAGCTGGGCCATAATTTAGCAAAGTTTCAATATACGATTTGTAAGCATACGTGTTATTTGGGGGTGAAATTAATTTTTGATTTAGATAAACGTCAATCTGGCTAAACAGAGAATGTAAAATGTTATTAACAGGTGCAATTTTATCGGTAGCAGCAAAATTTGTCCCATCCTCCTTAACAAGTTTTACATTCAGCAAAAGAAGCGTGTGCGATAGATCGATGTACTCATCGGCCCCGTTCACCACAAATTCCAAAGGACCATCGTCTGTAATGCTGTTTAAAGTGTTGTAGTGCAACCACTGTCCATTTTCAATGCTAGTTTGGGTAGTCGGTAAAGCGAATAAATCTAGTTCGGACTTCACACATTCACAGCTACGTGGATCAAGAAAAGCCATATTTCAGTGTTAACTAAAAATGTCTTTGCGCGACGGGTTCTTTTTGTCGTTGTTTACTTTACGACGAATAGACCGTTTCTGAGATTTAGAAGCTTTCCTCTTTCGTTTTAAACAACCAGACCCCACCAAACTATCAATTTTACTTTGGACTTTGCGTTTCAAATTTTCGGCCGATTCAGCAACGCGTGATTTAAACGCACCAACGACGGGCTTTTCGCTGGCCACGTCATCGAGAAAGTGAGTTCCCGAACGAAGCGCTTCTTGCCCGACAGTCTTTAGACCGCTCCTGAGCAAAGGCATCACCGAACGAAATAAACCTTTCAAAAAACTGCCAAAACCGTGCCCCCTTTGGTATACGCTACCCCGATAAATAGCTCCTATCCCCGTTCCAGCTTGGTTTACATAATAATCATGATAGCATGGACTCATCGCGACAACTTTTTAAAATGAAGCTTAACACTCACAGTACCAAACTGAAATGGTATTTTTTCACCCGTGTTACTTCTTATATCTATTTCGATGTTTTCGAATTCACGTTTTAACACTGGTACATAGTGAGGTTGTGAAAAAAACTGAACATGTTGCACGCCGTACGTGTAGCGGGTGTTATCCAGAACAACAATTCGCAGAACTTTGGCCACAACATCGCCTATTAACTGCGGTTCTATGATATCGCAGTATGTGAAGAAATGCGACGGAAGGCCCAACAAAATATTTGACGGGTGAGTCGAGAATTTGTTTAAAATGTTTGTGTTCGGTTCAAAACCTAGCTGTAAATTTAATTTCGGCGATAGAATTAATGATGTTAAATTGACGCTAGAAGATGCCACGCGAACCTTCTTCGTTTTTTCATCTATCGTAAATCTGACATTGTTTCCACTTATAACAGGATTTTGATTCAACGCAGCCAGTATTGAGTCTATTGACTCATAATTACCAGCATCAATTTTCGTTTTACTTTTTACACCGTCCGCAGGAAAAAAATCAGCGTTTTCGTTGCTTAAGATATCATCAACTGAATTATATTGATAACGTTTCATTTGTTGATCGAGCCACATTGAAAGGTACTTGTCCTCGAGGTACCCGGTTAGTATATCGCGACATAAGGGGTCCTTAAAATCGACATTGAACGTGTAATATACAATATTCTCGCCTTCTTGAATTGTTAGAAATGAACAAGGATATTGAATTTCAGCTAATCCAACACACCATTCACCATCTAAATGCAACGATCGCGGCAACTGCGTGCAAAAATGCGTTGATGTATTGTTCGGGAAATATGTTTTTGAACTGTCAGAAATCAGCGTAAGATAAAAATTCTCGCGATCCGTCATATTTCGTGCAAAGAACTTTCGAGAATCCACGAGTTAAACTTTGGAGGATAATTTTTCCACTGAACTAAAATTTCAGTACGACCGTTTTTATACCTCTTTTTCAAAATCTTATCAATGTGAAACGATTTTTCAGGGTTATATTGCACACGCTGAATTTCCGGTTGATAAAATACGCCGTCTACTGGTTCGCCCAGCAAATCTTTTATCTTGTATACGACAGGATCTCTTTTTATGACGTTTGTAATTTGAAATATCTCCCCACTCCAATTACTAGCATAACCTTTTTCAAATACATGTTTAAATCTGGTTATTCGTATGTAATCCCCGACTTTGTATAAAATTTTCGAATTGCTTTTTAATAACGGTTGTTTATGTCTGTAGATATTCCGGTAAACTTGCAAGACATTATCGGCGTTCACGTGATTAGGAGCCATCTTAATAGTTCGATGATATGAATTATTGTACGATTGCACGAGATCGGGTAAAACATCGATGTAACGCTGGGTATTGGCGTAAGTAAAATATTTAAACATTTTTGATTTTAGTGTTTTATTGAAACGTTCTACAACAGCCGCTTTTACATCTGGATTTTTCGCTACATAAAAATTAACTTCATGTTGTTTAAACAATTTTTGCACTCTACTAGCTAAAAATTCTTTTCCTTTGTCAGTCTGTAGATTTAGAGGTATTCGCTCGTTAAAAATTTGTTGAAAGGCCGACGAGACTTCAACGCCTGTTTTAGTCTGCAACGGTTTCACCCAAGCATATTTAGAAAACACATCTATAACGCTCAGTAGGTACCCGACGTTGTCGTTGTCCTCTTTTAAATTTCTAAGATCTATTAAATCAGCTTGAAAAAGTTCATCGATATTTGTCACGAGATATTTGTTTCTCGGAAATATTTTGCGCACTTGTTTATGCAAGGTGTATGCATCCTCACCTTCCAACCACTTTTTGACGTGCGGCTCCGGAGTCTTAGCGACTTTAGATAATTTGTTTAAGCCGGAAAAACTCGCCGGGTTAGAGGGACTATAATAATGCTCGCGTAGATGGTTATCCATTACAGCGTCACTTGAAGGAAAATTTTGACCACTTTGTTTTTGATGATGATGTGGGCCTTTTTTTTCTTTGGTTGGGCGACGTCGACTGTTCGGACTCGTGACTTGAACTAAGAGGTTGAGCCGGTGATGATGAACGTATAGGCGACAGAAAATCGTTTGGTTCTTCTACATCTACATAAGCTGAGGAAGAATCAGACCGATTCATGTTTCGATTAATATATTCTAAACGTTTTTGATTGGTTATTAAAACTCGTGGAATATTAATACTACGCAAAACGTCGGCAAATTCTGCCCACCCCGCTGGACCGTTTTTTGTTTTATTTGCTCTGACAACATCATTTACTAGATCCGTTATATTAGAGCCAGCTATTGGTTTTCCGTCGGCGCTCACAACACCCATAGCATCCCAGGTAATTCCAGAGTTTTTTAATTTTTGCATCAATGATGACGCTTTATTTTTATATTGTTTGGGCACGGCTGACAAAATATCGTTAAACCCGTCGTAGCTTTTTTCTGCCTGTACTACCGATGGTGACTCCTGAGGAGAAGAAGCTTGTAATTCCACAACGGGTACTTCAACAGTCTTGCGATTATGGCTAAGTAAATTCAAATATCTTTGTAAAATTTGATTATACATAGACCATTTTTGGGTGTCATCCAGATTTTTTAAATTGAGAACCGAGCTCATTTCTTCATCCAACTTTGACAAAGTGTCCGGTTGATTACTCTGTAGTTGACGAGTTCGTTCAAAAATATTTGGGTCCACCAAAATCATTTTCTTAGCATGCTCCATTTTTACGTAAAAAAAATGTTAATTCACTTTGCAACTAACGAACTCAAAACACCCGATATTATAGGAGCGAGCAATAGAGGCAGAAAGGCACCACCCTTCTGTACGAGTATTTTTTTCTTTTTAATAAAAGATTCACGAGGTTTCACTAGACACCTTAAACTTTTCTTATGTTTAGCTAATTGCTGTTTCTGACTTTTACTCAAAGAAACTTTTCCTAGTAATGTATTGTGGACACATTCACAAATACAACGTACAAGATTATAATCTGCAGAATTTAAAACAGCCTTTCTGTAACTAGGTTTGGCTTTATGCAAAAACCTTAACACCTCTTCATTGCTACGTAACAAGCGCGACATTCCAGTTAAGAATGAGAATTTTGCAATGAACGTTGATATTTATATCCGTTTTTCGGTACGTAGATAAATGTCGGTTGTTCATCCGGTAACACGTTAGTTCGAAATCTGAAGTTCTCGGATGTGTCCTGCTTTAAATCAAATAGTAAATAACCATGAGGCCGAGTCGTTGCATCACTGTAAGCTTCTCGAATAAATTTTGTGTTTTCTGGAAATATTTGTCTAGCCAAATGACTGATTTGTGCTCTATCTCTAGGATTTTTGAAATATATAATGTAGTTGGCGTTTAACGAGATGTCTCTTTGACCTCTACCTTGATGAAATAAATTTTGCGTGATGTAAAATACACTAACTTTACGATGATGACTGCCCTTAGTAAATATATCAACTATGCCGCTTGTTGTTTCCCTCATTAAATCATCGATAATAATTAAAACGGGCATCGTACCGTCAAAGCAACTTAAATCAGGCATGCCCTGACGATATTCAATGTTTAAATATTTTAATTCTTCGTTTTCGTATAAAGACTGCCATTCATCAAAGTACCAAACAATTTGTTTAAATTCGGTATCGCATACGAAGTTTAAGTTTTTTAAAAACCTTGAAATAAAATGTGATTTACCGCAACCAGTTGGACCAGCGACTATAGCTGTAAAAGGAGTCTTAAAACGTTGATCCATATTTTTTTTTAATATTAATATTATTATTATTAATATTATTATTATTTATATATATACATGAGAGAGAGAGAGTTGCTCTTTCATATGCACCAACTAACGGGAAATGACAATTAACAAGTTGTGAAAACGATTTTATTTTATTTTATTCATTTAAAATACTTGATCTCTCTCTCTCTCTCTCTCTCTCTCTCTCTCTTGGATAGGTATGTATATATATAGATATATATATATATATATATATAAAAAAAGAGTTCATTTCCTTGATATATTTATTTATTTATTTGTAACAATAACACATTTTTTTATTGTGTCATTTTGAATGACGGGTAATTATAAGTATTGTGCTCTTTACAATACGCAATCCGACTTTGTACGTGATGCTTAAATGTACACGGCATTTTCAAGTATATCTCATACAAAATTTGATTGTTCTGAAAACTGTTAATTATATGTAACGCTGTTTGTTCAAAAGTCCTATCATCTCTAACATTATTATTATCATCACCCATAATTTCAAATACTGTACTGTCTATAAACGCATCGTATTTTGGAAATACGCGGCGCTGAATCGAAAATTGTTCTAATAACGAACTGAAAAATTCACTTAAGCTTAAGAATGTTTGAACAGTGTCCACGCTCAGATGTAAGGGTTCATACACATCTTCATTGACCGGTTCAAACTTTATCACTCTGTTCTTGCATACATAAACACTGTATTTTCCTATATCGCACAAGAACATATCACAGCCCACGTTTCGCACCAGTGGCATATATTCGCGTAGTTTCTTGACGAGTTCTCCGAATTCATCTTTGACAAACCACGCTGCACTGGTGAGTTGAGGGTTGTGCAACTTGATCACGACTTCATAATCACGAAGTGGTTGTACACCGATGCTGACAAATTTACTTCCCGACTTGGTCAACGGAAATACTCTCTCGTTTAATAAACGATATTTCTCATTTCTTATTTTTCGAAGTTCCTCAGCCTGCAGAGTGTTCTCCAACTTATCAGCTGCGGCACACATCAGCTTCTCAAGATCCCCTTCAGCAACATCACCCCAAAAATCGATCTCTTGACCCTCGCTGTGTACGACGCCCACCGAGGTATGACCTGGCGGAGACGATGGCGTTAAAGGTACCGGTTGAGAATCTTCAATTACTATTTCTAAATCTTCACAGTCCTTGAGGCGCAATTTCTTTTGAAGAGGTGGTGCCGATTCTTTGGTGACGGTGTTGGGACGGACACGTTTCATCATCTAAAATAAAATAAAACATACACGCGTATTAAAAAAATAATACCAATAATTAGCACGATTAAAATAAAATAATTAATTAATTAATTAAAATAACGATGGAAAAGTTTTTTACTTACGTTGAATTGAATTGATAGAGAAGTAAACCACTTGGTGCACACACAATTCACTATACAACACTTGGGGGAGCTTCTTCAAAGAGGTATACAAAATTGCAATTGCCATCGTATCGAGCTTGCGCCCATTTATAGGTGTTCCGAATAATCATTTAAGAAATGAAAGCGCTAGTCTTTTAAACCCGCTAGTATTTTACACCGCTTGGATTTACACGCACCCCGAAACCCTTGGGCGAGGGAAGTATCGGCATTTATGACCGCTAGGATTTCGGAAGGTGAAAGCGCTAGCATTTTGACCAGCGAAGATTTATGACCCGCTTGGATTTCAAACCCGCTAGGATTTGAGACCCGCTTGGATTTGAGACCCGCTAGTAATTAAAGACCGCTACTAATTAAGGGTAATTAATTATCGATTAAATCTCATTTAATATGCACGCTAATGATTAAAACCCTCTAATAAATTAATTCCCGATTCTAATTAAGGCTTAAACACACTAATTAAACATACTCCCGTAATTAAAATCGAATTTAATCGCTAATTAATTATGCATTAATTAATTAACTCTAATTACTAGCGGGTCTCAAATCCTAGCGGTTTTTTCAAGGTCGCTCAAATCCTAGCGGTTTTTCAAGGTCACACTAATGGGTCGCTGTTACTACTAGTATTGACACGGGTAGAGGATCTTCAGTCATATCAAATCGATTCACTTGCATAATGTCATAATTATAGAGTGTTGTGGGATGGACCCTTGCGGCATAATCCATCGGATTTTTTATTCCTTTGATACAGTACTTGCAATATGTCCATCATAGGTCACGGTCTTACAACCTAGTCATCAATATTGACAAAGTCCGCGGATTCATGAATTATGCAAACTGAAAATACCATCAAATGTCGAATGTCGTGGTATCGATTACGTTGTTAATTTTCATATTGTCAACTCTGTTTGTACACATCATGTCGGGTGTACTCACTATAAATAAAATTAGTATAAATAGAGCACAATTCACACTATACCTACGACGAGTGTATGCTTCTCATATAAATAGCTCTAAATACGTAATGAGATATTTGTACATGCAGGTGTTCTGTAACGATTTATTTTAAGATCGTCGACCTTCGTGCTTACAATTAACTTTGTAACTCTATGCCTAATCTGTGCGGTTTTGCGGTATTGTTTTTGGATCACGGCATATGACCTACTTTGTAATTATGCTAACGACTCAAACTGAATTCATCTATGTGACACTTTGCACAATGAAGCAATAATTCGATTTGCAGCAAAGTATATCTCACACCTGTGACAGCGACATGACAATCAATAATAACTATGTGTCAACCACGTGTATTATAATGGTAAACGGGGTTGTTAACAAGTTCTTACGTGTGAATTTAGATCACAATCGTATTACCATGTGCATTTTTATCACTATGTAAACTTAGTACGAAAAAGAAAGGGAAAATCTCTCGTCTAGCACCCACATGCATAATCCCATTTGTTACACAACTTTTAGCTGTCACAGAAAGTCCAAGACATGCGTTACAAATTAAAGTCTCTAGATCATAATTTTATTGGCTTTAAAATATCCTAATATACATAGATATTGGTGTCGGACTCATTTTCTAATCGGCTACTAATCAACGTGACAAGCGTTACAAATGTAAGGAATCAATACCTGAACAGTGAACACTGTGTCACATAAGTAGATTTCAAGTAAAGCTGTAGCATCGTCTAATTATCTACTTCGTTAATAATACCCAAGCCTAAGCTAAGGAAATATTGTAAGAGGATGCATCCGACGAATGGCTACTTTTATATTTTTGGACGTTTCATAAGAGTATAAAAAAATATGTCTCCTCCCGTTTCTGTCTGTCTGTCTGTCTGTCTGTCTGTCTGTCGTCTGTTCCTCGATGTTTATAATTTCCGAAACTACCGAACTGATTGTTGTTAAATAGTATATATATGTTAGGTATAGCGTGTAGATGGGAAAACGCTAACCGACCCATTATTTTTTTTACATTTAAAACTAAATTATAAAAGTATATTGAATGTTTTAATATGGAATATGTTACATTCAGTGTATGTATTTAGTTAGAAAAATTGGTGGAACGTTATTTCAACAGAACTTCCCTCCCCTTGAAATATGTCCAACTTTTTCGAAAAATTATAACAAAATTGCAAATTTTTTTTATGATAACCCCTATAAGTTAAAATAAAAATATGAAAATATGTATGTACCGTTAAAGTGAAGGTAAAAAGAAGCATGTTATGCAGATTTTTCAAGTGAGTTATTCTATTAATTAGATGGATCCAATGTCTTAATACTAATAAAAACAGTATACTGTATTGCTAAATTTTCGGGAACATTGAATCGTTCTTGATCTAATCAGTAAAATAGATTGTCTCATTCATTAACTTACTTTAATTACCCTGTAAAAATAATTCTAAAACATATGAAGGTGTTCATAAAAGTATAGGTTCCTACTATTTTATATGTTTTAAACAGGATTTATTCGATAAAAGTTTGCGGCGACGTCATCAATTTTTTGGGAGGGGATAGACGCATAAATTTTGATTAACGATTTACAATGCTTACGATGAGCACGTCTGCAAGGTTTCACAAAACAAAAATCCAGACAGACGGACTGACGGAAATTGGAGACCACTTTTTCGGACTCTGGGGGTCATGAAACGTCGGGAAAACATTAAAGTGGCAAGTCTGCGATGAAATCGATTACTAGGGAAACGCGTTTGCTATAGAGCAGCCCCACTTCAAAATAAAAAATTATAGAATAGTTAACATACATCACTATTATTCAATAAAAGATTAATGCAAAATCTGACCTTAGCGGCTTCTTTTCTACGATTTAGCAAGTCCCTCTTCTCCAAGGACGAATCCACTGCAACAAAAAATTACAGAATGAGAACAAAATTTATGAACATTGATTTTTAACAACGATGTAGCTCACAAAATGTAGTGATTTCGGAATTTACTCAGTAAAATAAACTGCATGACTTATTAATTTTTTTAGACACCTTGTATTAATATGTGAAGAATCTCGCATGCTATTCCGAATATTTCAAATAAGATTTTCTGATATCCTAATCAAATTTTTAAAAGGGATGAACAGATAACATAGATTAGCGATTTAACATGTTCAAGATAACTTCAAAGCTGTACAAATTGTCAGAGGAATCGGATTCATAATTTCCAACGTAAATTGTAACTTTCTTTGAATTAATAAAATATAGGTAATCTAATAAGACAAATTTAGGTTAGCGTTGTATTATCTACTCGTTAAAATATATCTAAAACTTGTATCTGTTTAATCGTTTCTTACAACTTATCTAGTAAAAAAACCGACAGATATCCAACTGATAGGTGACCACAGACGGAAACGGAAGACCTACTTTTTCATATGCTAGAAGCTATGAAAAATAAAGTTTAGATGTTATCCATACGTTGGTGTTTTTGTTGCTCGAGCGGCGCCTTATAATATGATACGAATCAAAATTGACATTCATTTTTAAAACTACAGAAAAGGATAATAAAGAGCTAATTTTTTTTGTGGAATTTTGATCGACGTGTCCTATCGTGGGGCAAATAAATCTATATTGAAGCATTAAAAACATTATTTACAAATAAATAGAACAAACTTTTAGCGTATGGATGAATTCCTACATTTGCTTACAGTTTGCTAAAAAAAAAGTGAAAAAACTTCGACGTAAATCGATTACATTTTACCTGCTCGGGAATACAACAACTAATGTTATTTGCATTTCTCCTCTTGTTACAGTCAGAGCTATTTCAGGCAAAATTAAAATTTGTCTTATTCTGCTAAAATCAACAACTCTAATTGTAAATATTAGATATTCATAAATCTAAATTCGTCCTAACTACGTTAAAAGTTTGTTCTGTTTGTAAATATTGTTTTTAATATTTTAACAGAGACTTACTTTCCTCGCGACGCACGGCGCGTGGAAAAAAATCCCAAAAAAAAATTTCTGATAAGAAGTAGAGTGAGAATTTTTTGTTACTTTGCCTTATGCAAAGGAGATAAATGGGTTTTGACTTTGTGAGTGTGTTTGCGGTCCAGCGACTGGCTCCTTCAGATAGTTTACTTGTGTTAAAAATAATTTATTTTTGTGTTAAAGTGAAGGGTGTTGTGAGGAGTGCTCAAGGATCAGCGAGGTAAGAAAGAAAATCTGGATTTAAAGGGTAAATGTTGCTTTAGCTCTTATTTATTATTCTCTGTAGTGCAGTTGTTTATCAATTTTTTACTTTAAAACTTTAAATAAATCTAATTATAATGCGAAATTGAAATTAGTTAAACTCAAACCACGTCAAATAAAAGTGTTCGCTTGACTGCAATTGTTTCGAATAACTATTGTGTTTGTAAATGTTGATGTTTTAAAAACGAAATTCAATTTTCATTTTTATCAAGCAGCAAAAAACGTAAAAGTGTAGAAAAATTCTCAGTTTTATTGTTCTTTGTTATGTGCACAACTGTAATTATTTCGTACAGTTATCAATACGTTTTTACTTATCTTGTATAGCTCCTAGTATATCAAAAAGTAGACGGTTGTGAAGTTTTAGATATATTTTAATAATAATAAAGTGTAGATGAAAAGACGCTAACCCAAATTTGTCTTTCATTCCCGTCAAGAATGTGATGACGACATCTCAAAAAATTCATAGTTGTACAATAAAATTTTTCAATTTATTTTGGAAATTTTAACAGCAACTCTTCTGAAAATTTGTGTCTTGAAAATGGTATATTTTACTAAGTCAATCATATTTGAAATGTCCAGAAGGCATACTTCTTACGTGTAGTTTATTCACACGTATTTTTTAGAATATTAATACAATAAATGAAAAATCACTTATCTAAATTAATAAGTTTTTTAGATAGACAGATAACCTCCGAAACTACGGGACCGATTGTTGTCTAGTTTTGTATGTATTTTAGGAACATGATATAATGATAAAACTCAGTCCAGTTGTTTCGGATATTATCTGTCTAATAAATATCGATACAGACGACAGACAGACAGAAATGGGAGACCTAATTATTCATTCTCCAGGAGTTATGAAACTTCGACATAACATAAAAGTAGCCGGTCGACGGATGGATGTGGTTACAATACTACCCTAGCTTACGCCCGGGAAGTAAAAATATTTGAAAGGTCACTTTAAAAATAACGAAGTGTTCTTTTATAAACAGTTGAGACTGCGCCAAAAAAATCAATGTTTGTAAAAATCACAAGTCTAAAGTTTAAAAAAAGTATACAGGCAAACTTGAGTTTCTATCAATAGCTCTGTCATGTTTATACAAATTTTAGAGAATTAGAGAACTAAAAAATTGCAGTTTTTCTTTTAAACAATTAAAAAAAAAAGTTTAAAAATTTGAATTCATTATTATGTGTCGAGTGTGGTATCTACGAAAACTATGTATGTCCTGCTTTTATTTTTGATGTATTAAAAAGTATTTATACTCGCATTGGAGATAAGAAATTCCACTTAAAAAATTCAAATCGAAAAGATGGTTCTGGGGGTTCGTTTAAATCTTAATAAACTTGATTTATGGTATGGAAACACCATAATACTGACCATTTAAGGAGCTGACTCTGGAAGCACTAAGAATTAATTTGGGTGATAAATTTTAGATATTTAACTGTTTATTCAATATCTAAAACCATAAAGACAGATAAAATGCTTATACAAGAACCTAACATTGAATAAAATTGTTGTTAAATGTTATTGTACTGATCTAAGACGCACGAAATACACGGAGTTCGTCATAAATAGTGGAAATTATTTTCTATATTTCAGGCGTTTAAATGGTTCTAAATTTCAGTAATAACTCGAGATTTTTTCCATTTCAAACCTTTTTTTTTGTTATGTAAGAATTAAATATTTATGTATATATTTTAGAATTTAATCGATTTTAAAGTCATGACATTTCAATACTTGTGCACATAGTATCCGATTTATACCACAAAATATACTCAGACTTATAAATATTTATTTCAACATGTGTAGCTGAGACTGATTAGATCACGTAATGCCGTCAATTATTAGGTGCATAACATGTTTCAGTCTAGTTTTGAATACGTGGAAATTATTCATTTCATTCAGTTTCAGAACGTAATAAATATGTTTAAATTCTAATTATATTTATATAATTGTATAATTATATTTGTTAAGTGTTTGATGACGTAAGTAAATCTATATAGACTTTATTATTATTTTGTCATTACGGGTAGGAGGACCAAGTAATAATATGCATACAAATCGACCTACAGTTATACTTTAATATCGCCCCACCAAAATGACGCTCGCGTGACTACCGATCATTTATACACTCGGCAACTGTATAATGACCTACACTACTCTGATTTCGTTGTGCTAGTCTACTCTGATTAACATGATCAGACTGTTCGAGAACCTTACGAACTACATAACATCTTTGACTTTGGCAATTACTGATTCGTTTAAATTAAATGTAAACCCCTGTCGTTAATGCAGCTTTTACTAAATTACTAAATTATTAATTAAAGTCAAAAGTAAAACTTTGTTTAGTATTATAAATTTAAACGCAATCAGTTAAATGTATTTCAGTCTTCTTGACGACCGCATACACATTACAAAAATACAAGAGAGAAGGATGCAAATTAAACTGACAAACAGCATATAAAATATAGACCAAATACACGGGTTAAATCCTTTTACCCCAAAACGAAAACCAAAGAGCGCCGTCATGAATTTTGTGCTTCATGTACCTACCTAAAAACTAGCTTCTGATCCTGCTAATTCTGTATGAAATATGTGAAAAAAAACGTTGTGCCTCATGTTTTTGTTGTCGTTTTGCAACGGCTTCTGTTTTTTTTTACAATTTTTTCTATTTTTGTTTTTATTATATCAAAAAGTTTGAAAACAATGTTTCAAAGAAATTCTGTTCTATCATATATGTACGTCATTACTCTGAAAACAAAACAAAAAGTCGTTTTTTGGGTCAATTTTTTGCGGATACATAGATATCTACATGTACTTCGTTACAAACTTCTGTTATTTATTATTTCAAGCTAGTTAGAAAGACCACCAAAAAAAATTAAATATTAGACTTCAGGTATAATTGAAGGTATTGTAACTTATTACTTTGTCTCGCGTACATTAGCCGAATATTAATATCATGTACAACTTTACAAGCCAACAATAAAAAAACAATGCCAATTTTTGCAGCTATGAATTTTTATTTAGTCAAGAATTACCTGCTATGCTGTGATTATTGTTCTTGTGGTTCGCAGTTACGACACCGCGTCTTTTGCACACGTTTACTTTTATGTGCACTTTGCTATTACAATTTTATGTTCGTGATTGTTAAAAGCGTAGTATGACTAAAGGCTCGAATGTGCAATTGTTCATTCCATGTTCATATGTTATGGAACCCGAGTAATATTTTCAACCACACCTTTTCCAGCTGATTTACGATGGTATCCATTCTTTTACTATAGGTAAAGCTCTAAAGTTTTTTGTAAGACGGAGGATATAACTTGTGATGAAATTTATTTATGGGTAAGAACATAAAAACACTAGACTTGAAAGTCATGAATTATTAAAGATTTCGCAAGGATCTTCTACAATTCTAAAACAAATTTGATGGCTCGCAACTTTTCATATCTTTGCAACTCAAATAATTTCCTTGCCACGGTAGCTGATTTGTGGATATTTTATTTGTACTTCTGTAGTATTTAATAGTTATAATCGTCGCGATATGTGTAATTGAGCCAATACAAAAACGGTTCGGTTGCACGTCAATACTGCGCTCTGCGACCTTAAAAACTCCATTGTGAACACAAAGATGAAAGGAAAGAAGCACTGCTACACCACCAACAACCT